GCCGCGTTTACCTGCAGGCGGGGAGGCGCCATTCGCGGAGTGAAGAGAACTGTGAACAAGACATTTCCTGGCCAATGTGGTGGGTGGGAAGTGTTGGAACGTGTTGGATGGCGGCGCCTCGAAAACAGAAACTTTTCTTTTTTTTCCTTTTGGATGGAGTGTTGAGGCGTTGGAACTTCTGCCAGGTTTTTATTGGTGGATAAATGCAGCAGAGGTGCTAGATCTCCTGTTATCTGTTGTAAATCACCTTCTCAATGGTTCAAAATGCTTCCTTTTGGGCTGCTCACATGTACCCTGGTGGGGGTGGGGGGAGGGGTGCATACAGTTGTAATCCTATACCATGGTCATATACAGGGTATATACATACGGGTGGAGTCCTATACTATGGACATACACTATATTGGCAAATGTATTATCCCCACCCTCCATATCATGTGATTCCGGTGTTCCAATTCCCTCCATATCATGTGATTCAGGTGCTCCAATCCCCTCCATATCATGTGATTCCGGTGTTCCAATCCCCTCCATATCATGTGATTCAGGTGTTCCAATCCCCTCCATATCATGTGATTCAGGTGCTCCAATCCCCTCCATATCATGTGATTTAGGTGTTCCAATCCCCTCCATGGACACAGGTGTATACAATCAAGCCCCTAGGCATGCAGACTGCTTCTACAAACATTGGTGAAAGAATGGGTCGCTCTCAGGAGCTCAGTGACTCCAAGCGTGGTCCCGTGATAGGTGGCCACCTGGGCAATAAGTCCATCCGTGACATTTCCTGGCTACTAAATATTCCACGCTCAACTGTTAGTGGGATTATAACAAAGTGGAAGTAACTGGGAACAACAGCCACTCAGCCACCAAGTGGTAGGCCACGTCACATGACAGGGCGGGGTCAGCGCATGCTGAAGCGCACAGTGCGCAGAAGTCGCCAACTGTCTGCAGAGTCAATAGCTAAAGACCTCCAAACTTGGTGTGGCCTTCAGATGAGCCCAACAACAGTGCGTAGAGAGCTTCATGGAATGGGTTTCCATGGCCGAGCAGCTGCATCCAAGCCTTCCATCACCAAGTGCAATGCAAAGCGTCGGATGCCGTGGTGTAAAGCACGCCACCACTGGACTCTAGAGAAGTGGAGGCGTGTTCTTTGGCGTGACCAATCACGCTTCTCTGTCTGGCAATCCGATGGACATGTCTGGGTTTGGCGGTGGCCAGGAGAACGGTACTTGCCTGACTGCATTGTGCAAAGTGTAAAGTTTGGTGGAGGGGGGATTATGGTGTGCGGTTGTTTTTCAGGAGTTGGGCTTGGCCCCCTAGTTCCAGTGAAGGGAACTCGTAAGGCGAGAGCATACCAAGACATTTTGGACAATTTCATGCTCCCAACTTTGTGGGAAGATTTTGAGGATGGCCCCTTCCTGTTCCAACATGACTGCCCACCACTGCACAAAGCAAGGTCCATAAAGACATGGAGGAACCAGTTTGGGGTGGAGGAACTTGGCTGACCTGCACAGTCCTGACCTCAACCCCATAGAACACCTTTGGGATGAATTAGACCTTCTAATGGAGGTGGGAAGGGAAGGTTTATTGATAGAGGTGGGGAAGAAAGGCTCATTGATGGTTGTGGGGAGGGAACCCTCATTGATGGGGTTGTGGAGGAAAGGCTCATTGATGGAGGTGGGGAGGAAAGACTAATTGATGGTTGAGGGGAGGGAACCCTCATTGATGGTTGTGGGGAGGGAAAGCTCATTGATGGAGGTGGGGAGGAAAGACTAACTGATGGTTGTGGGGAGGGAATGCTCATTGATGGTTGTGGGGAGGGAAAGCTCATTGATGGGGTTGTGGAGGAAAGGCTTATTGATGGAGGTGGAGAGGGAAGGCTGGTCTGTGTAGCCTGATCCAATAGAAGAGCTACTGGAGCTCAAATTGGTAGAAAAGTGAATGCTGGTTCTGATAGAAAGGTGTCAGAACAATTGTTGTGTATGGGGCTGTGTAGCTGCAGACCGTTCAGGGTGTCCATGCTGACCCATGTCCACAGCCAAAAGCACCTACAATGGGCACGTGAGCATCAGAACTGGACCAAGGAGCCATGGAAGAAGATGGCCTGGTCTGATGATTTCAAGAATGGTTTGAAAAACACAATGCGTTTCAGGTGTTGACTTGGCCTCCAAATTCTCCAGATCTCAATCCAATTGAGCATCTGTGGGATGAGCTGGAAAAACAAGTTCGATCCATGGAGGCCCCACCTCCCAATTTACAGATCTAATTACTTGGTGCCACCACAGCATACCTTCAGAGGTCTAGTGGAGTCCATGACTCGAAGGGACAGGGCTGTTAGGATGGTATAGCTGGCCAATGTATGTGAAGCACCAATTGGTCCAACAGATTCCTTTGAGTCAGCAGTAGAGAAAAATGTTACCAACTTGCAACATTGTAACCAGGAAAATGTATCCCTTCATCCAGCAGATTATATTCTGCTCTTGAATACGGTGTGATCATTAGATTTCATGGGACCCAACTGCACATAAAGAATTCCCCTCCTCTGCTGCACTTCCTGTTGCAGGTTGACAACACCAAACCTCTGCCTCGCAATCACTGCAGCACAGACGTGCGTTGTCATAGTGGGCCATTGGGCTGACTATCAGATATTAACAGCTTCCTGACCGCCCTATAGCGGCAGTACTGCTACAGGGCGGCAGGGATGCGCAAAATCACATCTATATACGTGATTTGCAATTCTGGGTAGGGGGCGCGAGCGCTCCCTACCTACGCCGCTATTGGCTCCTCGGCACGTCAATCACCGCGTCCCAGCAGCTGATTCTCTGCCGGGACTAGGTGATTGTCGGCGGGGCTGACGGGAGAGGTCTGTGTGTAAACAACACAGATCTCTCCCCTGTCAGCACCAACATGCTGCTTTGTATTGCTCTGCAATAGAAAGCAGCACATCTACATAGTAAAACAGCACACAGTTAACCCTTTGATCGCACCTCACGTTAACCCCTTCATGCCCAGTGCCATTAGTACAGTGTCAGGCACTGATCACTGAGCACTGATCACTGTATTGGTGTCACTGCGGATGTCAGTGGTAGTTAGTCAGCCCCCCCGTGTCAGAATGCCCGTTGCAGTCCCGCTATAAGTCGCTGATTGCCGCTATTACTTTTTTTTAGCGAAGACACGGAGCAGAATACATTTTGGCCTGAATTTATGAAGAAATTTTATTTTTTACATATTTTTTTACTGGACATGTTTTACAGCAAAAAGTCATAAAATAAAATATATATATATATATAATATTTTATTTATATATATATATATATATATATATATATATATAATATTTTTATATATATATATGATATATATATATATATATATATATATATGATATATATTTATATATATATATGTGTGTGTATATAAATATATATATATATATTTTTTTTTTACTTTTTTTTTTTTTTTACTTTTTGCTGTAAAACATGTCCAGTAAAAAAAATTTTAAAAATAAAATATATAAATATATATATATTATATTATATAATATAACATAATTGTCTGTCTTTTTTTGTAAATAAAAACTGCACAGGCGATCAAATACCAACAAGAGAAAGTTCTATTTGTGGGGAAAAAATGACAAATTTAATTTGGGTGCGGCGTTGCATGACCGCGCAATTATCAATTAAAGTAGCGCAGCGCTGTATCGCAAAAATGGCCTGGTCAGAGAGGGGGGGGGAATCCTCTGGAGGGGGAGGGGTTAAGGGTGTAGGGTTTTGTATTGGGACCCTGGGACTGATGTGATTAGAATAATACTCCCACGTGGCACGCGCTTGGAAAGGTTTTAGCGAGTTTGCTGACATGGCTCATCGTCAGTAGATATCTAGAGAGCAGAAGCAGGTAAGAATCTGCAATGTTGGCAGGAATGGATATGGTGGCTTGCATTGACTTGTGAGCGTCTGATAGTCCAGCATGGCCGGTGCCGGGTTGGTACAGATTACTGTAATGATACAGCGCTGTGTTGGGCTGTTGCACTCCCCTCCCCGCGCCGTGGTAGGATTGCTCTTCGTGGAGCTGGTAAGCGACCTTCGGCCTTCGCTGAGATGGGAAATTGATTTTCCTCCGGCTGGCTTGTTTGATCTGTTCAGGTGCTCGTGGAGTTGGGAAGAGCGGAGGCAGATGGGCCCTTACCTGTCCGATTTGTGACAGAAGCTTTCAGACGTAGCCCTTGAGAGTTACCCCCGGGGTCACGCCGATTACATCAAGACTCCCAACAGATCGCTCGAAATATATCTGCTTGCAAAAAGTTTGGTTATTTTGTTCTTTTTTTATTTGCAGGTTTGCGAAAAAAAAACAAATAATGATAAAATTGTAGACGTTAACCCTAACCCAACACAAATGGAGTGGGGTTTTTTTTTCCATGAAATACCGTTTTTCATCTTTTTTCATCCTTTCAGCCACTTCCTGCAGGTCACTGCTCTGGACTGGTTTGTTGGTGACAACAGTGGACCATGTCTCTGCAAAATGTGTGCCGGGGATTTTCTCCAGCAGGGTCATCTGTGACAGGGTGACAACTCAGGAGATAAAATTAATACCACAGCGCAAAAATTAAAACAAATAATAAAATACCATCAGTGATAAAAAATATATGTAAATAAAATTAATAAAGTCCACGTCCCAAATAAACGGTGAAAAAAGTGATCCAATCAAAGAAACAGTGCCAAAGGAAATTCAAGGTGCCCACACCATCCGTGATCAGTACGTGCCGCACTCACCAAATTTAATGGACTCCTAGCTTATATGGCGTAAGAGTCAAACAAGCCTTTAGGTGAGATATGTTCTCCAGAATGGATCCCAATCGAGGAAAGATCTCTTGCTTGACAATCTCCAACGACTACAGGCCATTCGGATAAAACGTCTTCAACCTTTTACCAGCAATTACCTGGAGAGGATCCAGTCCCCATCGGCCCAGCTTCCAAAATCACTTCAAGGAAAAAGATCAACAAGAACGATGACATTACAACACGACCAGGGGAGGACTGACCATTTGGAAACTCGGGCACTGCCCGAGGGCACAGGATCAGTAGGGGGCCCCATGAGATGCCCCTGGTACCTTTTTCATAGGCTTTTTTGAGTTTGGGCAAGGACACAGGGGCCCCATGATCCCCTATTGCCCGGGGGCCCCATGAGTTGTCAGTCCGCCCCTGAACACGACTCAATGCTGTTCTACCAGGAATGCATTATTCGCATGGTTATTCCTTCCTGACAACTCAGGAGCACAACTGGGAAACCATTGTCACCCAGGAGGTATCTTCAACGTGCTTTATGGTGTGCATCTGCTTGCAAGCGTTTTTTATGCATCTAAACAAGCAATATTTTTGGCCTTTCCTTACAGCAAGACTTAGGAAGGACCTGGGAGATCTTTTTATCCATGGCTAACAAGCCGCATGTTCTGTGCATTTGACATGATGTAGATTGTTTTAAGTGGCACCTTTATTAAACACCAAGCAGACCAGACAGGACTTCTTTCTAGTGGCCTGCAGTTGTGGCTCTTCTGTGGGAAAATAGACAAATCCATCATTGTGTATGGGCTACAACAATTTATGGGTTTTTCTTAAAGTATCTCATCCTCCTCTCTCTATATGTGTTGGTTATTTGATGGCAGAACTCTTCTCCCCCTCTAAGTAGAGTTTTAAGCCAGCCATAGATGGTTCAAATCTCGGCCAGTTCAGCAGGGACTTGCCAAGATTCAAACCATCTATGGACAAGCTGATTGTACCCAAGTCGATCCATCGATTGACTTTGACACAACCAGAATGTCGGATTTTTATCACGCAGTTATTGCCAGTGGCTATAGTTACTAGAAATAATCATTGTGTTCTCCTGGCAGGGACAGCTCCCTGAGCACATCCCCGCCGAGAGAACACAATAGCTTCAACGGTGGGAGATGGATGGCCATAGAGTTTATATGGATGGATTGAGGAGATATGGATGGACTGGGATTGTCATAGAGGAGATATGGATGGATAATGATGGAGGAGATATGGATGGACTGGGATTGTCATAGAGGAGATATGGATGGACTGGGATTGTCATAGAGGAGATATGGATGGATAACAATAGAAGAGATATGGATGAATAATGATGGAGGAGATATGGATGGATAACGATGGAGGAGATATGGATGGATAATGATGGAAGAGATATGGATGGATAACGATGGAGGAGATATGGATGGATAATGATGGAGGAGATATGGATGGATAATGATGGAGGAGATATGGATGGATAACAATAGAGGAGATATGGATGGATAATGATGGAGGAGATATGGATGGATAATGATGGAGGAGATATGGATGGATAATGATGGAAGAGATATGGATGGATAACAATAGAGGAGATATGGATGGATAATGATGGAGGAGATATGGATGGATAATGATGGAGGAGATATGGATGGATAACAATAGAAGAGAGATGGATGGATAATGATGGAGGAGATATGGATGGACTGGGATTGTCATAGAGGAGATATGGATGGATAACGATGGAAGAGATATGGATGGGATAACGATAGAGGAGATACGGATGTATAACGATGGAGGAGATACGGATGGATAACGATAGAGGAGATATGGATGGATAATGATGGAGGAGATATGGATGGATAATGATGGAGGAGATACGGATGGATATTGATGGAAGAGATACGGATGGATAGTGATGGAGGAGATAATATGGATGGATAACGATGGAGGAGATATGGATGGATAGTGATGGAGGAGATATGGATGGATAACGATGGAGGAGATATGGATGGATAACGATGGAGGAGATATGGATGGATAACGATGGAGGAGATATGGATGGATAATGATGGAGGAGATATGGATGGATAGTGATGGAGGAGATATGGATGGATAACGATGGAGGAGATATGGAGGAGATATGGATGGATAATGATGGAGGAGATATGGATGGATAGTGATGGAGGAGATATGGATGGATAACGATGGAGGAGATATGGATGGATAACGATGGAGGAGATATGGATGGATAACGATGGAGGAGATATGGATGGATAACGATGGAGGAGATATGGAGGAGATATGGATGGATAATGATGGAGGAGATATGGATGGATAACGATGGAGGAGATATGGAGGAGATATGGATGGATAATGATGGAGGAGATATGGATGGATAGTGATGGAGGAGATATGGATGGATAACGATGGAGGAGATATGGATGGATAACGATGGAGGAGATATGGATGGATAGTGATGGAGGAGATATGGATGGATAACGATGGAGGAGATATGGAGGAGATATGGATGGATAATGATGGAGGAGATATGGATGGATAACGATGGAGGAGATTATTTATTTATTACAGGTACTTATATAGTACCACCAATTTACGCCGCGCTTTACATATAAATTGTACATTTACATCAGTCCCTAACCCTCAAGGGGCGTACAATCTAAAGTCCCTAACTCACATTCATACACATACTAGGGCCAATTTAGACAGGAGCCAATTAACCTACGAGCATGTCTTTGGAGTGTGGGAGGAAACCCACGCAGGCACAGGGAGAACATGCAAACTCCAGGCAGGTGGTGCCATGGCTGGGATTTGAACCAATGACCCGAGTACTGCCAGGCGGAAGTGCTAACCATTTAGCCCCTGTGCTGCCCAGAGATATGGATGGATAACGATGGAGGAGATACGGATGGATAATAATGGAGGAGATACGGATGGATAATAATGGAGGAGATACGGATGGATAATAATGGAGGAGATACGGATGGATAACGATGGAGGAGATACGGATGGATAACGATGGAGGAGATATGGATGGAGGAGATATGGATGGATGGTGATAGAGGAGAGAGCCGTTCCCTACCACCCCCCCCACTCCACAGGGACAGATAGAAAGACACTCACTTTTACAGCTCTGGACATCCCCAGGACCGGCAGTCGGCTCTGCATACACCATCAAGCAGCCCGCAACCTCTCTCAGATTCCACCTGGTCCCCATACTGCATATGTCCCTTTTCTAAGGGGGCGGTGCTGCCCCCCTAAAAAAATGCTGCCCTAGGCGAATGCCTTGTTTGCCTTGTGGTTAATACGCCCCTGCCTGGCACTGCATATATGTACATATATAGATTTATTATTATTACACACACACATATATATATACACACATTTTTTATCTTTTTTTATTAAAGCGAGAACGCACGAGGAGTAGAAATGGCAATTTTTAGCCAAAACAGAAGGAATCTTTATATAGAATGTATCTTTATATAGAATGTATCTTTATATAGAATGTATCTTTATATAGAATGTATCTTTATATACAATGTATCTTTATATAGAATGTATCTTTATATACAATGTATCTTTATATAGAATGTATCTTTATATACAATGTATCTTTATATACAATGTATCTTTATATAGATTGTATCTTTATATACAATGTATCTTTATATAGAATGTATCTTTATATAGAATGTATCTTTATATACAATGTATCTTTATATACAATGTATCTTTATACATAACACTCATTTAATCACTTAACCCCCCCGCCTGCCGCTCCCATTCCCAGCACATCGTGCCCGGCTCACCTCGCAGGTACTTAACATACCCCCCCCCCCCCCACACCACCACCGCCCCCCCCTTGCCGCTCTCATTCTGAACCTGTCAGCGACGAGCCTCTAATTACCTTCTAATTTTACAAACGCCGCACTTAGCGGTGACACAGAAATCCGGAGCAGCAATTGAGCCTGTCACCGGGAAGCTGCAGGAGAGGGATACAGAGGAGGGAGCGGAGAGGGGATCGGGGGACGTGACAGGCGGTTCAGGTTCACCGAAAATATCACTCCACGCCGAGAGCCGGAACTGTGCCGCTGCGCGGCCGGCCTGACATCTCTGTGCTGCTCTGCGCCGGTGTTACATGAGGCCGCGCTCTGCCGGCTGAGATGTGCCTAGGCGTACGTGCAGCCAAACCGACTCCTGGCGTCTTCACTTTGAAATTAAAGGAGCATACCATGTCAGGGGCGGACTGACAACTCATGGGGCCCCCGGACTATAGGGAATCATGGGGCCCCTGGTCCATGTACAACATTTAGTGCACATATATATATTTAATTCCTGGAATGGACTGTAATAAAAAAAATAAATGTTTGCTTACCTGTACACTAGGCTGTTGTGTCACCTTCAAAGTAGCCCCCTTGTGAAGCGACGCGCTCTTCTAGACGACTGCGCCCCTGCCGCAAACATTCCTGGAATTCGTTCTCCGTTCTCATTCTCTTTGCTCTGCGCACTGGATGTCTGAAATGTCATCAAATCTGTGTCCATTTAAAGCATGTTTTAATTTTTGGAAACAGCCAAATGTCGCAGGGTCTAAAGTCGGGGGAATAAAGCTGATTGGTCAAGAGATTTCTGGATTCAGCACCATGATGATGCTCCTGCACATTCTCCACCATGACAATGCTCCTGCACATTCTCCACCATGACAATGCTCCTGCACTTTCTCCACCACGACAATGCTCCTGCACAGGAGCATTGTCGTGGCGGAGAAAGTGCAGGAGTATTGTTGTGGTGGAGAATGTGCAGGAGCATTGTCGTGGTGCTGAATCCATTTGTCAGGCCAGAGTTCTGGTCTTTTCCTTCCTGCATAGCAGCATTGTCGTGGTGCAGAAAGTGCAGGAGTATTGTTGTGGTGGAGAATGTGCAGGAGCATCGTCGTGGTGCTGAATCCATTTGTCAGGCCAGAGTTCTGGTCTTTTCTTTCCTGCATAGGAGCGTTGTCGTGGCGGAGAAAGTGCAGGAGTATTGTTGTGGTGGAGAATGTGCAGGAGCATTGTCGTGGTGCTGAATCCATTTGTCAGGCCAGAGTTCTGGTCTTTTCCTTCCTGCATAGCAGCATTGTCGTGGTGGAGAAAGTGCAGGAGTATTGTTGTGGTGGAGAATGTGCAGGAGCATCGTCGTGGTGCTGAATCCATTTGTCAGGCCAGAGTTCTGGTCTTTTCTTTCCTGCATAGGAGCGTTGTCGTGGTGGAGAAAGTTGGAGACACGTTTTCTTGTGTTAAAGCTTTGTGCTGCTTGGGGCTCTTTTTCAGCGGGAACGCGGGGGAACGCACCTCCAGCACTGAATGTATGTACTGGCAAGGGATGCTGGGTGTGCTGGAGGGTCTATTGATACTGA